TTTTTTTTTTTTTTTAGTTTTAGTGTTTGGTGGACACAATATCTTTATTTTACATTTATGTGGTGTTGAGGATGGAACCCAGTGCCCGGTGCATGCTAGACAAGCACTCAACCACTGGAACCACAATCCCAGCCCATATACCACAGTTTTTTATCCATTCATCTACTAAAGGGCATCTAGGTTGGTTCCACCATTTAGCTATTGTGAATTGTGCTGCTATAAACATGGATGTGGCCCAGTTTTATTTTTTGAGTGTCACACAGTACAGCAAAAGCACAGTGGCACATCTCTGTAATCCTAGCAATTCAGGATGCTGAAACAAGAGGATCATAGGTTCAAAATCAGCCTCAGCAACTTAGCGAGGCCTAAGCAACTTAATGAGAGCCTGCCTTAAAGTAAAATATAAAAAAGTGCTAGGGATGTGGCTCAGTGGTTAAGCACCCGTGGGTTCAATCCCCACTATCAAAATTGGTTTGTTTTTTTTTTTTTTCTAGAGAGACAGAGAGAGAATTTTAATATTTATTTTTTAGTTTTTTGGCAGACACAACATCTTTGTTTGTATGTGGTGCTGAGGATCGAACCCAGGCTGCACGCATGCCAGGCGAGCGCGCTACCGCTTGAGCCACATCCCCAGCCCTCAAAATTGTTTTTAAAACTAAAAAATAAAACACAGCAAAGGAGCCTCCCTTTGGCTTCCTTAAGAAACAAAGATCAAGTTGTATTCACAAAGTAGTGAGTCAGAGAAATTAAGTGCTCCTGGGTTCAATCCCTGGTACCAAAAAAAAAAAAAAAAAAAGATTAAGTAGTGAGTCAGTAACCTCTGCTATATTAAGTTGCTGCATCAAATAAACAAAGAACTCTGAACCCCCAAAATAAAAATATTAATATTTACCTTTTATTTGTTTCACAAGGATCCGATGACCACTTACATCATCTGCAGCATAATTCCTGACGTATATGTTCAGGTAGTCATTTGTACTTCCACTGTTATGCAAATAAAATTCCAAGCATTGAAATTCTCTTTTAGGGTACAGCATCCTAGTTTCCATCACTGCTGTGTCCCCCTCACTCACAGAGCTACTGTTAAAATGCATGAAGAAACCAGAACCTAGTATGAGGACAAAAGAATTGAGAAAAAAAACAGATGCTGGCTAGAGGAATGTGTGTTTGTTAATAGTGATGTTAGTTAGGTTAGGCCCAATTAGTACCAGGAGGTAAATCCCCAGGGAGAAACTTCAAGAGTCTAAGCTATATCTCTAGTACTGACTGACAGAACACAACCCCAATCTATTACTTATAAAAATATTAATTACAATAGTAGCAGTTTGCTTGTGGGCACTGATCTTCACTTATCTTCATTTGCTATGAGCTGTAAAGATAAAGCAAGCTTATGTATAAAATACTAATTTAAAAAAAAAAATCCAATATAAGCCTTCAGGTTATACCTAAGAAGCAGGATCAAAAGACAGATATTCTGCAAGGAGCATCTTTCAAACATTCCCATCCCTGGCCAAGCTATAAGTGGGAGTAGTTACCATCAGTAAGACAGCATGGAGAGTTGTTCCCCCTCTGGGAATGTGCAAAAGGGGAATAGAAATTCAGCCCAATGTAGAAGCTTGATTCCTCAGAAAACTTGGAATGGAACCACCATTTGACCCAGTTATCCCACTCCTTGGCATATACCCCAAGGACTTAAAATCAGCATACTACAGCGATACAGCCACATCAATGTTTACAGCAGCTCAATTCACAATAGCTAAGCTATGGAACCAACCTAGGTGACCTTCAACAGAAGAATGGATAAAGAAAATGTGATATATATACACAATGGACTATTACTCAGCCTTAAAGAGGAATGAAATTATGACATTTGCTGGTAAACAGATGGAACTGGAAACGATCATGCTAAATGAAATAAGCCAATCCCAAACAAACAAAAGCCAAATGTTTTCTCTGATTAGTGGATGTTGAGTCACAGTAGGTGGGAGCAGGGAGAAGGGAAGGTTCACTGGCTTGTGGGGCGGGGGGAGTGAGGGGAAGTGTGGAAGGATGGGAATGGGAAAGACAGTAGAATGAATCAGACATAACTTTCCTATGTTCATATATGAATATATGACCATCATGTGCAACCACAAAAATGGGAAGTTATACTCCATGTATGTATGATCTGTCAAAATACATTCTACTGTGATGTATAACTAAAAAGAACAAATAAAAAAATTTTTTAAAGTAGGGCTTGAAATCCAGGTAGGTAGAAAGCCACAGTATCTGTGTGTCCCCAGGCTAACTCAAGGTGCAGCTGTTAAGTGCTTTAGGAGAAGTGAGCCTACTATGTGGGCAGGAGAGAGAGGCAGCCCAGAAACTAGAAAGAAAAATGTTCTCAGAGTATAAAAGCAAAGATATCACCCATGTCCTTATAATGCACAAAGCTCATTCCTTTGTAGCAACCAAATGGATTATCATTGATAATTCTGACAGAAATGAAAGATAAGATCCCAGTGTTTCATAGTAAAAGGAAAACGGGGGGGCCACTGAACATAATATCTAGAAGTCCCTCAGTCCTGTTACCTTTACACTTTCCCATGTTGGAATAATCAGTCTTTGGACCCCCAGAAACATTTGAAACTCGCTTCCAGTCAGTCTTATCTTCTGAACTTTGTATCATTCCACATATGTTTTCCAGTTCAAAATTGCATGAGTCCATAAAACTCAAGGAAGAGGCTGCAAAAAAAAAAATTATTAACAAAGCATCATAATCTAAGTAATAAAAAAAAACTGAGCTTATCACAGAAGTCTGAGGAAGGTTTAGAAGGTCATCATTGAGGGGAACACCTAGCTGATCTGAGCTGGAGACCCCTCCTCTGTGGATCAGCATACATAGGCTGCACTGTCTTTTTTTTTTTTTTAAGATTTCTTTTTAAGGGGCTGGGGTTGTGGCTCAGTAGGAGAGCATTTGCCTCGCATGTGTGAGGCACTGGGTTCAATCCTCAGAACCACATAAAAATAAAGGTACTGTGTCCATCTGCAACTAAAAAATAAATAAATAAAAAAGATTTCTTTTTAAGATGGACACAATATTTATTTATTTATTTTATTTACTTTTATGTGGCGTTGAGGATCGAACCCAGTGCTTCACGCATGTGAGGCAAGTGATCTACTGCTAAGCTATAACCCCAGCCCTATATTGCCTTTTATTTTCTTCTAATTATCTATTTGTAGAAACTGAGTCTACACTCCCCTTGTTATTCAAGTCATTAAGCCACAACCCAGATTATTTGATCCTATTTATATTACAAATGTGTGTACCCCATTTTAGCTGAAAAGAGGTTTGAATATCAAATTGGGTCCATGTCTGAATTAGGAACAGCTTCAAAACCCTGCCTGAGGTGTATTCCTAAAAGGACTCAAGCTGTTTTTAAGAACTCAAAGGCAGAGCTGGGGTTGTGGCTCAGCGGTAGAGTGCTTGCCTAGCACAGGCAAGGCCCTGAGTTTGATCCTCAGCACCACATAAAAATAAATAAGCAAAATAAAGGTATTGTATCCAATTACAAATTAAAAAAAAAAAAGAACTCAAAGACAGACCTTGAGAGACGAAAAATGCTACAACTGAGTGAGAAACTGGGATCTGGGTACTACTTTGTTTTTCTGAAAGTCAAACATAAATATTCTCAGAAACCCCCAATGGCACAGACCATCATTTTCTTCCACATAGCAGAGGGAAATACAGCACATTTCAAAGAACTTGTCACATACAGCAGTTATACAGTCGATTCAACTTTTGGAGATCATAGTCACTGAAATCCATGCGTTGACCAATCAGATCCTCAAAGCCTGCCATCTTTGTTATAATTGTAGGGTCTTGTCCACTTTTGAATGCAATTTTACTGTAGTGCATTACAGAAAAGTAATCGTAGGGAACATTCAGGAAATCTGATTCTTTGTCATTATGAATATTAAAATTGTGCTCTCGACCTAAGTGGTACATAAAAAAATCTTTGATTACTTGATGTTCATAAAACCAATGTATCTTCTCTACACACTGTTCACTTAGAGAAGGAGAATAAAATATAGCAAACTTTTATGCAAAGGATCTATTGTACCTTGAGTGTTTAACATCTTCCTATCTTAGAATATAATATTCACACTTGGAATTGTGATTCCAGCAATCACACTAAATATATCTAAGATTCCATGTCCCAAGTTGGAATATGCGGGCCTGATCCAAGGCTCTAAAAAGTGGTAACGAAACAGTCAGGATTATGGGCCAGCCAGGGCGGAAGTTTAAGTTTCATCTCCACAGCAAATGGAGATAAAATTAAGAGGACTTTGGGAAGGGTGGTTCAAATGGGACCTGGGAATAATATAGACAAGAATCATTAGAAAAAGGATTGACATGGTCAGAGACGTTTTCCAGGATTGCTGGAATATTTGTAGATACGTATAAATCATGGTGACAACAGTTAATAATAATTTATTTTACATTTCTAAATTGCTAAGAGTAGTTTTAAAATGTCTTATAAAAACACCAAGTGAGATGATAGACATGCTAATTAGTCTGTTTTAATCGTTCCTCATTGAGTACATATATCAAAATGACATTTTGTAGCTCATAGGTGTATTCAGTTACAATTTATCAATTAAAAATATTCATTTGGGAGGTGCTGGGGAGTGACATTTGTCAAGTTATATTATCATATTGCACACATGTATGAATATGCTATCAACATATCCCATCATTATGTACAACTCTAATGCACCGATAAAAAAATAAGGAAAGGAAAAAAATATTCATTTTTGGCCAGACACAGTGGCAGATGCTTGTAATACCAGCTATTCAGGAGGCTGAGGCAGGAGGATAACTAATTCAAGACCAGCCTAGGCAACTTAGGGAGACCCTATCTCAAAAATTAAAAAATAAAATAAAAATGGCTGAGGCTGTAGTACAGTGGTACAGCCTGCTGGATTCAACCCCTAGTACTGAAAGTAAATATTTTTTTAACTAAAATGAATATATTTAAAGAAGATACCACGCAACTCAGCATCACAGTCAAGGGCAATTGATCAGAACTTGAAATCAGGTGATTTTGTGGATATAATGAGGTGTGCCTGATTTCCAAAGATATATAGATGTCTTATCAAATATGGGCAGAAGTTCCTATCCAAAATAAAACTGTGAGAATACTAAAGAGTGAGGCCATAGATTAAAACACTTCGCTTGCTCTAGAAATCTCTTAGTTTGCAGCCAGGCAATCATATAACTAACTGCACTTTTAATTTCTTTTCACCTGAACTAGTTTGACTTCAGACTCCTTCCCATTGGACACGTGTAAGAATATGTGGGACTGTATCCCATAGAACATGTCTTGAGAAACACTAGTTTCTATGTTATATATAGCTCTAAATCACAGTTTTGTGATTCCTGTATGGTAGCACCCAACGACTTTTAAGGTACTTCAGATTACACTGAGTTAGAGGATAAATCAAGTAAGGCAGCAAGATGTCAGTTTTTCAATTATTAACCATTGGCATTAACATTTTTAGTCTAAAAATGTAGAGAGAGAGAGAGAGAGAGAGAGAGAGAGAGGAGAAATGTACCTGGTTTAATTCTGTTCCACATTATCTGGATATAGTCATCCCGATCAGAACGAGACTGCTCATGCCAGAATCCCAGCGCGTGCAAGAGCTCATGCTGCACGGTTCCTATCCTGTCACAATTGTTCCCAATGGAAAGTTGCTGCTTCCCCTCACGCCTGTTTCCTATCGAGGACCAGCAGCTTAGGAGAGTTTACAGGAGAGGGGGAAGTGTTACAGAGATGCACACTGAGGTCTCCAGGAGAATGCCCACCCCCTGGCCCTTCCCTAGATTGAGACACTGTGCATTTCTCTCACAATCCTGGTGAGGCATGAAAAACCTTGCAGGCCAGAGATCTTTAGAGAACTTGCCCTAATGCTACATATTAACATAGGAGCAAGTGATTCCCCAGGCAGCTTGGTCCTGATATTCCTGGAAGTTTCAGTCTATGAGATCATCCTAGGTATTCCTGTGCCCATTTACAAGGGCTTTCCCAGGCACAGCAACCACTCAGAATGCTGAGCTCCAAGCAAAGATGCTCCCACGTTCTTAGGTAAGAATAATTTTTAGGTTAAAATTAAGTTAAATACACACAGGCACACAAAAGTGTTTTTATTTAAGAGAGAATAAAGAGTATTCAATTACAAATGGGTGGAAATCCACAAGGTTGTGGAATAGATGACATTCAGTCACATTCATTTTAACATTGAAAGTCTGGTTGAATGTGTGAAAACATTATTTTTATGCCAGGGAAACTAGACCTAGCTGTCTTGCTCTGCAACCAACAGCAAAAGAAGCCATGGCCCTACCCTAATGGTCAGGGCCTTGGGCAGTTACTGTGAGGTGATTCCCTAGGTACAACAGTCTCTTCGGAACCCCTAGTAACCCTCCACTTACCCGGTGCCCTTGAAAAATGCTATATAGTTATCTTCCCCAGACCAAGGCTTGAAGTCAAGGCATGTTTTCAGGCGATAGCGATCAAATGCCTGGAGGATAACCGCTTTAGCATTCACACCTGAAGGAAAACCAAGGGAGAGGTTTAGAAGAAAGGGACCAGGGTATGAGAGGAAGGGGGAGGGGGAGTGCTGGGGAGTGACACTGGCCAAATTAGATTATTAAATCGTGTGCATGTACAAAGATGTAACAACAGATCCTATCACTAGGTACAACTCTAATGCACCCATAAAAAATGTAGAAAGAAAACAAATAAACAAGTAAAAAGAAAAATACACATATTAAAATAATCACCTTTGAATAATTCACCATGGAAATAGGCTATGTACTCTATGGACTATCATGAGTTAGTTCCTTCAAGAATTTCCAACATTTTGTTTTTATAAAATTTAGTATACAGTACCAATTAAGTACTCTATTCAAGTATTTGATTATTCTTCAGAATCCTTACTTTGCCTTATATTTTTCTGGAGTCCATTAGCAGTGCATTACTAAACAATAGGAAGGGTGTTTCTTTATCTCGGAGGATATACAACATAGATCAAAATCAACAGAGTCAACCAGCTGTCCCTCTCCTCAGTCTATACTCAAAGGACTTAAAAACAGCATACTACAGGGACACAGCAACATCCATGTTTACAGCAGCACAATTCACAATAGCTAAACTGTGGAACCAACCTAGATGCCCTTCAATAGATGAATGGATAAAGAAACTGTGGTATATATACATAGTAGAATATTACTCAGCAGTAAAAGAGAATAAAATCATGGCATTTGCAGGTAAATGGATGGAGTTAGAGAAGATAATGCTAAGTGAAGTTAGCCAATCCCCAAACACCAAATGCCAGATGTTTTCTTTGATATAAGGAGGCTGATTCGTAGTGGAATAGGGAGAGGGAGCCTGGGAGAAATAGATGAACTCTAGATTGGGCAGAGGGAGGGGGCATGGAGTAATTAATAATGGTGGAATGTGATGATCATTACTATCCAAAGTACATGTATGAAGACACAAATCAGTGTGAATATACTTTATATACAACCAGAGGTATGAAAAATGGTACTCTATACATGTAATATGAATTGCAATGCATTCTGCTGTCATATATAACAAAGTAGAATAAAAAATAAATTTGGGGCTGGGGATGTAGCTCAAGCGGTAACGCACTCGCCTGGCATGCACGGAGCACTGGGTTTGATCCTCAGCACCACATAAAAATAAAATAAAGATGTTGTGTCCACCGAAAACTAAAAATAAATATTAAAAAATTCTCTCTCTCTCTCTCTCAAAAAAAAAAAAAAAAAGCAACAGTCAAGCCAGGCGCTGTGGCACATGCTTGTAATCCCAGCTGCTCGAAAGGCTGAGGCAGGAGGATTTTGAGTTCAAAGCCAACCTCAGCAAAAGCAAGGCACTAAGCAACTCAGCGAGACCCTGTCTCTAAATAAAATATAAAATAGGGCTGAGGATGTGGCTCAGTGACCAAGTGCCCCTGAATTCAATCCCCACTACCCGCCTCTTCCACAAAAAAATGAACAGTCAATGTTACTTGCTTTATCTAAGGAACTACCATTTATATTTAAAGGCCCCAGCAGAGTTTTTAATCCAAGGACCTTGAGAAGGGAAGGTCCATAAAATAGCAATGCAAAGTAAATGTATCTTTTCCTCTATCTATACCTGCAAACTATATTCTCTAAGGAGAGCTTTCGAGAGGTTTGCAACCAAGTCCATGACCAAAATGGAGTTAAGAACTATTAGGAAATAAAAATAGTGCTCATGGGTTAGAGAGATATGAAGCTCAAAGAAGGCAGACACATTAAAGCAACAAAATATAGAGGGAAAAAAAAACTTTGAGGGTGACCTGAAAGGAGGGTCTGACACAAATGGAGTCAGGCACTGCTTAAGTGAAGAATGGTGGCCTGCCTGGAAGTAGTAGTGGAGAATAGGAAATGCTAGGACCCCAGGGCCAGACATAACAAGTTCTCATGCATCTTCACCTAACTTCTGACCTATAACCTTTGCTAATTTAATTACTCTTAAGAGCTTTGCTGTTATCATCAGTTTAGTGAAGAAATAAAATCAACTTTGCAATGTTACTGTGAGCATAAGAAGAGAAAGAAAGATGAAGTTCCAAATAAAGGAAGTTCCTTCCTACATAACTTTTGTATACCCTGTCAAGGAGGATGACCTGCAACACCTCTGTCCAAGCTGAATTAAATACAAGTATATGATTGTCATTGGTAAGGCCTCAAAATCCATAAATCATAACAGGCCCTCAGAGATGAACCATTTACAATACCACGTAAGTAATGCACGTTTACTGTGAAAACATTGGAAAAGGCATTAAAAACAAAAAGAAGGGAATTTAAAATCCTATCACTGAGAAATAATCACCCTTACCATACTTTTTGCTTATGGTACATACAGAGCACACATGTATTTTTATAAAAAAATGAAAATTACAGTCTATATAATATTATATGAACTATTGTTTACTAAATAATATACCACTAAATCTTTATCATTATCTTAATGACTGCATTAATAGCTACAAAAGGTATAGTAATTTCTTGTCAAATGTTTAAATCATTTCAAAATATTCTGTACTATAGCTGGGTAGGGTGGCATACTCTTGTAATCCCAGCAGCTCAGGAGGCTGAGGCAGGAGGATCAAGAGTTCAAAGCTATATTCTCTAAGGAGAGCAATTTAGTGAGGTCCTAAGCAACTCAGCAAGACCCTGTCTCTAAATAATATACATATATATATATATATATATATATATATATATATATAGAGAGAGAGAGAGAGAGAGAGAGAGAGAGAGAGAGAAAGGGCTGGGGATATGTCTCAGTGGTTAAGCACCCCTGGGTTCAATTCCTGGTACCAAAAACTAACTAACTAACTAACTAACTAAATAAATAAATAAATAAATAAAATGTTCTGAACTAAAAATATCACATTTGTATCACTATTTCAAATCAAACTTTTTCTTAAAATAAGCCTGGATTAAACCAACCACAACATCACCATTTTAGAATAGAAAGTAAGCAGGACTTGCTAATCTAAGCCTTTCATCAAAATTGATAAGAATTTCCACCCATGTTGGACTGTTTTGAAAATGCAATATGTGAGTACACATGAGAGTAGTATTAGCAGGAAAGACCTCTACCACGATAAGATGTTCATTTGCCATATGCCTGTCCTACCGCAAGCCTTTATTGATTGCATCATGGATGTAGAAAAGCTCCACCAGGATCATGTCATAAAAGTCCCTTGGCTCCCAAAAAAGGAGGGAAAGGAAAGATACTGGGAAATGAAGTTGGCCAAATTATGTTTTGTGCATGTATGAATATGGCATAATGTATCACACTATTATATTTAATCATAATGTACCAATTTAAAAAAAACAACAGCCACCTTGGCTCCCAAGGAAAAGGGTAAGTCCCTGAAAATCCTAGGGTTTCAGCCAGCAATTATGCAGGATTATCATCCCCTCTTTGGTCTCTTCAGGTTCAGACCCCCTTCCACTTCATTTTCACACCCACTTAATTCACATCTAGCCTCCACCCCATAAGATTTTTCTCCAAAACTGAGCACTCAGGCAAGGAATTGTAACTTACTCACTAGAAGCTAGAAATGGATGCTCCAAGTGTTACCCCTTTCAAAGGGGCCACATCTACCAGCCAGACCACAGCTGAAGTTTCATCTACAGCCCTACGATACAATTTCTTAGGTAGGCCTATGAGAGCCTGAGAAAGAAGACTTTCCAGAAGTCATTCCTGAATACCTTTCACGGTGTTCATTTTTGCTTCATGTGAGAGTGGCCTTTCTCAATAATTTCCTTAGTCTGAGTTACTTGGAAATGTTTCACATTTCTGAAATGTGAGGAAACACTTCTCTTATTCTGAATGCAGAAAATAAATTTGATTTTACCATATTACATGGAGATAAAGTACTTCAAAATCACATAATTGAAAATAAAAATTGACCTACAAAAATTTGAAGTTTCATTCTGTTAAAAAGATTATGTAACATGAAAAAAATGCAATAATACAAAATGAAAAAAGCAGAACAAAAACCTTAAAACATCATGATTAGAACTATGTAAAATGTGCACATTTTGGATCTAGGCTGAATTTTCAACCTATTACATCCAATTCAGATAATATGTTTATTTATTTATTTTTAAAATATTTAACTGCCTATAATATGCCCTCAGATTCATAAGATGAAAAATAGCTCCTACCTGCAAGACATTTTTCATATTGTTTATAATGTTACTTAAAAATAGATATTTAGGCATGATTGGAATACATGCAAAAATAGACTAAGTGATATAATCAGATTAAAGTGCACTTGTCTTTCATTAATTTGAATATATTACGAAAATATTTTTAAAGATATATATAAAAATTAAATATAAAAGTTCTTCAAATTTTTTTTTAAAAAAATCCTTTAAGTGTTTCAGATTTTCCCCAACTCCAAAAGTCAACGAACATCTTTCTTTCCTCATATTCCATGAGTTCTGAGAGCTTCTAACACTGTTAATTATTCCTGCCTTGGCTTTCTCTAGCCCACTGCGTTTTTTATACACATTTAAGGCCAGTCCTCCTTTCTCAATAACTTTGATCAGGGGCTGGGGCTGGGGCTCAGTGGCAGAGCACTTGCCTAGCATGCGTGAGGCACTGGGTTCAATCCTCAGCACCACATAAAAAAAAACAAATAAATAAAATAAAGTCATTCTGTCCATATACAACTACAAAAGTAATTTAAAAAAATAAATAACTTTGATCAGATCTTGCTCCTGTAGCAATTCCAAAGTTGTTCTCCCAGGTTGAGTTCCATCTTTGGCTCTCCTTTCACTCAACATAATCTTTCTGGATCGCTCAGTATAATCCAGTTATCTGTGAAGTGTCAGTTATTGACAAGACACTGTGAGAGACACTCATTCACACCCATGGCTTCAACTATCTCTTACATCCTAATGATTCCCAAATATTTCTGTATCTTTAATGATCAGACCACACATCAACACTTTGATATCACTACCACAAGTTAGAGATGCAATTTAAATTCTGTATGCCGACAAATAACTTCCAGAAAACTAACCTACCCTCTTTAAGATATATTCTCTAGTCTTGGAATGAAGGGAAGGGAGGGGGAATGGGCGTGGGAAAGGCAGTAGAATGAATTGGATGTGACTTTCCTATGTTCGTCTATGAATACATGACCAGTGTAACTCCACATCATGTACAGCCACAAGAATGGGATTCTAATTAGAATCAGTTATACTCCCTGTATGGATAATATGTCAAAATACACTCTACTGTCATGTATATCTAAAAAGAATAAGTAAATAGATATTTTTAAAAGAATTTTTTAAAAGATATATTCCCCATTCTTGTTAAAGGCACTACCCAGTTGACTAAGATCCAATCTTTACTAACCATCTTCTTGACTCTCGTAGTCAATCACCAAAGCTGACAGTAACCTCCTAAGTCTCTTCTAGATTTATCCCCTCTTTTCTATCTCCTGGAGATAGTTTTGGTTCAGAATCTCTTCATTTCTTCCCTGAATTTCTTTGATAGTATTCTAAATGATCTCCTACTGTCTTTTTTGCCCCCCTAATAACATCTTTATACTGTAACCACAGTAATTATTATAAAATGAAAGGATGAGTCTCTTACCTTCACAATAAAAAAATTGGTTTTTTTGCTCTACCTTACCATCAGTATACACACCAAGGTGTCTTATACCAAGATTCAAGTTCTTCCTAATCTGTGTCACAACTATTTGCTGTCATTAGTTTTACAATCCCAATTTGAATTCCAAGTAGGAGTTTTCTCCCATCTCCATCAATTTCTTCCAGAATTTTTGGAATTAATACAGAAGAAAGATCTAATCCCTTTGCACATACTGGGCCACCTGCCTAAAGTACCCTTCTCTTGTTATCAGAGGCCCTACTAGCCCAGATGGGGTCAATTGGAAAGGGACTCTTCATCTGGACAGATGCGGTGCTGCAAGTGCTGGATGGCCAGGTGGGTGAACAACCTGTTCATTCAAAGAAACAAATGTCTCCTGGTGAACAGAACACAAACCTGGCTCCATCCCACCTCTCCCTCTTCCAAGCACAAATGTATGGGGTACGATCTGCAGGACCTTCACCACAGCCCTGCTACATACTGTCATCTTCTCCTGACTGCAGATGCCTTTATGTCTAGGTTGAGTGAAATTTCCTCCAATGTGCCCTCAGAGCTCTTTGAACATATCACTAACCATAATGCTTTTTCTATTTTAATTAAATTTTGATTTATCTGAATCTCAACTGAAATGTGTTTAAGGAAACATCATTTTTTTTCTCCCCAACGTTTTCTCAAAGAGCAATATCTAAACTGATCCTGGTCAATTACATCACAGTCACCAGTCCACAGGTAAAATGAGGACAATGTGTGGTGGTTTTTTTTTTTTTAATCACAACTGGATACAAAAAGCTGTCCATAGCTGGTCACCGGGTGTGCACACCTGTAATCCCAGCAGCTCGGGAAGATGAGGCAAGAGTTTCGCAAGTTCAAAGCCAGCCTCAGCAACTTGGTGAGGCCCTAAGCAACTTAGCAAGACCTTGTCTCTAAATAAAATATAAAAAGGGTTGGAGATGTGGCTCAGTGGTTAAGCATCCCTGGATTGTTCCATCCCAGGTACCCTAAATAAATAAATACATAAAAGCTGTCCTTAGTTTTGCAGTAGGTTTTTCTGACTTTTTAGTGACCTAACACTGAACTAATAATGTTATTTGTTTTATGGAAACACAACGATAAAAGATAGTGTGTTCTTGTTAATCCCTGTCTTGGCAAAATAAAATGTTGGTAAAACAATGTCGTCGTTAAAGTTTTGTTTGGTTGGTTATTTATGCTTTTTACTCATATTTAAAACTTGAACATATGAGAAACTAATGCCTTAAAATACAGAGTATGTTCCTAATCTTTATGCCCCTAGTATCCAATAACATTTAAGCTCTGCATAAATGTTGGTTGAATTGATCCCAATATTAATCAAAACACATCAAATTTCAGGCTGAATCACATGGGATTTTTTCAGTGTTCATTTGCTTCCTTTTTAAAGCAAATGTACACAGCTCACAGACAAACAAAGACACAAAACCTTGAATGCCACACGAGCCTACCCTTATATAGGTTGTCATCGTGTTCTGTGAGGAACATGGATTAGCTATGGACACTCTGAGGTGCATACTAACCCAAGCTATCCTCTAGAACATATGGAATGACGTGAGGCCATCTGTATGTATCTCCAATAATAGAATTTCTGTCCTGTGCCTGTCAGAAATAAATGTGAAAGGATTAGTTAAATGAATTAGGGGAAAAAATGATCAATAATTAATCTAGAAATAAATGACGTTTAAAGCTCTCCCAGCTAGCCCAAACAAATTGTGTGTGTACCCCTACTTTTATCATAATATAATAAAGTTCGTAGGAAAAAAATAACTAATTCCTATCATTTTGTTCATAAAGTTGACAGAGAAATATCACTGCCCAGCATGGTGGTGCATGCCTGTGATCACAGCGACTGGGGACGCTGAGGTAGAAGGATCATAAGTTTGAGGCCAGCCTTAGCAACTTAGTGGGACACTAACACAAAATAAATAAATAAATAAAAAGGGCTAGGGATGTAGGTCAGTGGTAAAGTGCTCCTGGATTAAATCCCCAAGTCCCAGTGAAAGAAGGAAGGAAGGAAGGAAAAGGAAGGAAGGAAGGAAGGAAGGAAGGAAGGAAGGAAGGAAGGAAGGAAGGAAGGAAGGAAGGAAGGAGAAAAGAAAGTTTTTAAAAAGAAATATATAAGAATGAAGTGAGAACAAAACCTCAAAAAACCTTAATTTTACAACATCAGAAAAAGTCACATGTGAGCTGAGCCAAAGTCTTCAAAATTTTGTAATGATTTTAAATTTTATAATATAAAACAAAAATATTTTCTTCATGAATCCATCCAGCCAATACATCAAATATTATTCTAGAGAAAAGGAATCCCTTTGTAAGAAGTACACCAAGGTCTCCAACTTCATGGAGCTTACACCCAGAGGGGAAGACAGTATTCGAGAGCTGAGCAGGTGACACAGATGTGTAACCCCAGCTGCAGGTGAGCAGTGTTTCTGGGGTGCAGGAGGTGATGGAGTAGGTCTGAAGGAAGAGCAGAATTTTCCTGAAAAAATCTACTGGATAATTTCTAGGTCAAAGGGTACAAGTATTCTAAATCATGATGGCTCTTGTCAAGTTGTCCGTCTTTTTGTTAGGGTTGTGCATTCTCCTATATAAAAACATTTGATAAAACCAGTCATAAATAAGCATCTCTTTTTCTATCATCACCAAATGGATAGTAAGGTAAAAAAAAAATCTCTATGAATCTGGTGGACAATAAATTATATCATTTTTTAAAATTTTCTTTTTTTTAAATTGTTGATGGACCTAATTTTATTTATTTATATGTTATGCTGAGAATCAAACCTATTGCCTCACATATGCCAGGCAAGCGCTCTAGAATTGAGCTACAACCTCAGCCTGATAAATTGTATCTTGTCTTTAAAAAATAGTGCTTGTAGGTTCATACAGATATAGGTAGCATGGATTCAAAACTGGAAATATTTTTTAAAAAAGAGTGGGGGAAAGGAGGTATTAAATTCTCTGAGCAGAAAACATGCACACATTTCAAAATAAAATGTTTATGCATTAAAAAACAGTACTATTGGGCAGGGGTTGTGGCTCAGCTGTACAGGGCTTGAATAGCACATGCGAGGCCCTAGGTTCAGTCCTCATTACCACATAAAAATAGATAAATAAAATAAAGATTTTTTTTAAAACTACTATTAAAATAAGATGTTTATATCTTCATGAAAAAAATAGTGCTTGTAATAGGGAACTTTGAAGTCCCCATAAATCTGGATAAAATCTACATATGTGTCATGATAGCTAGATAAGAATCAGCAGTGCTCTGTGTGAACAGGTTTGGGACAACTTTTACTTGGGAACATTATTTTTAGCTGAGAGGTCATCAAGTCTATTTCTTATGGCAAAAAGCCCAACTCATTGAAGAGGTTTACAAATATACTTAATTTGCTTCAACTAGATTGAATCAATGGAGTTCTACATCAAAATGAAAATCTCCCATATTGCTCCAAAAATGAAAAGCAGTCAGATCAATAAGATCAAGACATCCATGGTGGAGTGATGGTGGCTTTAACCACACAGAAATCTGAGGAATGGAAGATGAAGACATTGTTATATGAGTCCCTTCAAGGACAATGCATTCATTAAGTAAATGTGTCTCCAAGGTTCTGTGCCCTTAGTCAGGAAAGAGCAAAACCCATGCTACCCTTCATCCTCAGACATTGTATATATAGCTTTCTGCATCAACAGAAGAGTCTTCCTTGTTCTTTGGCAACTCACCCCATCAAGTTTGATGTCTCCCTCAAAAAGATCCAGATGCAAATCTAAGAGAAGAGTGAAGAAGAAAAATTCATGTTAGTAAATTGGGTTCAAACTCTCTACATAATAGATGATGTTAGGGCTGGGGTGGTGGCTCAGTGGTAGAGTGCTCGCCTAGTGTGTGCAAGGTGCTGGGTTCGATCCTCAGCACCACATAAAAATAAATAAATGAAATAAAGGTATTGTGTCCAACTACAACTAAAAAAATAAAAGAAAAGATGTGGTTAAAAAAATAGAGATGTACAAACCTTCATTGATATTGAAAATGTCCTGCTCAGTTCCACCATCTATATCTTTGACCAAAATAACAAAGAAAGAGTAAGTTGAACATTGTGTTTAGGGTAGGAGAAAATATTTATCAATTATATAATCAAAAGTAAACAAGTTTATTTTGCCTCAGATAAGTGACTAATAGATTCTGATTCAACATCAATTGATTATTCTAGTTGATTGATTCAGTGTCTTAATCAAATAGTTAATTGATTATGGCCTCCCATCAGCCAGACAGGGAACTAAAGAAAGGGCTTTTGATATTTACTCTGTCCTGTCCAATGACTCAGGAATAAGAAATTGGTCATTCCATATATTATTAACCTTCAAAGACCAGATTGAATGACTAGATGAAATAGGAAACAAATGTTTAGAATACAGCCTGTATTATCAGGTTCATCTGATTTAACTCAAAATAACAAAAACAAAGGCAAGCATTTATGGAGTGGCTGTCTGTCACTGTATTTGGCCTTCCCTGGGCCACCATCTCTTTCTCTGATGAGCATATGGACCCTGGAAGGAGGACAATATATACAAACATTCCCTTGCTAATTCAAGAGGCCAGTGTTCAATCAAAGTTCACTGCAATTACACATCAGTGCTACATAAGCGATTATGCATTAGGCTTAGGAGTAAACACATCCTAGGTTATTCAGTCATTTCACTATCCACATTACCTTCTTTTACTGTAATCTAGAGGAAAACTCAAAATAGACTCACCAAAGTTTTCTTGAACTGGCTGGGAAACAAACATAAATATATAAAAAAATATATTATTGGGATGCCACGATATATATGGTCTTCTTGTTTCCAATTTATAACCAGACGTTCACTGTTGTTCTTTCTTCATTATCATTATGTATTCGTTTCTGGCATGCAACTGAGATAGCTAAGTTGGAAATCTAAGATTTTTTTTTTTTGCAAATAGACTTCTTGCTTTCAATAGAAACTGAAACTGCTTGTTAAATGAATTTAAAGGTAATAGAAACAAAGAACCAACTTCAAAAGCTGAAAAGAAAGCAGAACATACAACTCTGGCCCTCAAATCACTGTTTACCTTAAACATGATCTTCTAAAGGATTCATGCAGCAATACTTGAAAAGCCTAAAAATGCATTCCCAATATTGAAATTTGTCATTTATAACAAGGCTTTTAAAGGAAATTTTCCTCAAGACTTCATGTCTCTCCTAAGATTCTGCCTTCAACAATAATACAAATACCTGAGGAAAAAATAAATGGGCATATTTTTTTGATATGAAAAGCCTTTTTTTCCCTGAAAATAGGTTTTCCACAAATGACCACTAGAATTCAGACTACATGCCCAGTGGAAAAAAACTGAGTCAACCTAGAAAATTTTTAGTTGGTGTGATCTAGTATAAAAGGTGAAGAAACTAGTACACGGTAGATGTGGATTGTCTTACTGGCTTTATCAGCTAACAGTAATTTAGTTTACCTTCCTGGTACTATACTCTCTGTAAAATATGGTCGATACCTGCTTTGCATGAGTATTACAAGAGTTACGTGAAACATGCATAGTAAAATGTAATAAATTGTCACCCAAGTGTAAGGTCCAATTTTATTCAGATACAGCCTTTATGTCTAAACAGAATCATACGAATGCTAACATGTTGGAGAATGACCTGATTAGGTTACCATCATTTTTTACATCAGCAAGTGCCTTGAGTGTCTCCTACTATGACCACACGCAGCCATACACCCAGAAGAATGCCGGTGAGCCTACAGAATAAAGTTAAAGTACTTGTTCCTAACTACAGCTTTAACCTGTATTAAATGTATCTCTTATTTGCAGTTCTAGCTCTTACTCATTGACTGCCAGCTCAACATAATAACTGTTATTTTAAACCACAGCCAAAGGTTTTCCCCCACCCATTTGAAAGTTCATTTAAACCTTGGGCTGGCCTGTGTTTCTATAGGAAAATTAGTCTAAATTGATAAAGATGTAGGAGAGAAATGCCATGCTATAAAACTTTATAAGTGTTCACAGGCCAGGCATGGTGGCACACTCCCGTAATCCCAGGAGCTTGGGAGGCTGAGGCAGGAAGATCACAAATTCAGAGTCAGTCTCAGCATCTTAGTGAGACCCTGTCTCAAAAATAAAAATTAAAACAGAAAGTTTTGACTATGCCTATGCCATTTTTCATACTTCATTCCTGTGTCAAGTTACTCTAGCATCAATCCATATTTCTTCAACAGTAAAAATAGAATGATTTTCAAAATTCATATTTCCCATCTTATCAAAAGAAAACTTGTTACATGACATTGAAACTGAAAAAAAAAATAATAATTTTATGTCAATGTCTCTGATTCTCTGCCTGGTAAAAGTGCTTCCCTAAATCCTTCTAGCCCCTGCCTACAAGTAAAAATAAAAATTAAAAAATTCAATTGAGATTAACATTTGAAACATATAATAAACATAAAAAGGACAAATTTTCCTTAATGATTGATGTCAAATGCCCCCCAATTTTTCTAATTGTTTTCTATACATTGTTTTCTTACCCAGCCAGCAACCATGAGAAGGTTGCCCAGGAACAAAAACCAAGACAGAGACCATGAATCCATGTTGTAGCTTCCAGTTGAAAGTTGCAAACTATGACGTTCAGAGTAGAGTTGACTTTTTCAAAAGCAAACATCATAACTTATAGCCTTTGATCTCAATGATCCATCTTGCAGGTTAGTTTGCTGCGGTAGTAACCTCTAATCAAGGAGGTAAAGTCCAGTATCTCTAGCACACCTCTGTGGAGGCTCCCCCCACCCCCACCAACATTTAATAGCTAAGTGCCTGGATAAGGCCTATTAATAAAACACATTCTCTAACATATATGTTCTGATTCCTAAGACTACTGCTTGAAAACAAGAAAATATCAAATTTTCAATTTTGCTTTTTCAAATAATAAACATATATGAAACTTCTTTCTGTCTGTGTAGCCCTGTGATGCTTTAACGTACACAGTTATGTCTGATATTCTTTATCATTCTTTTGTTTCTTAAAAATCTATTGAGCTGAGGATGTAACTCAATGGCAGAGCACTTTGCCTGGAAAGTGTAAAACCCTGGATTAGGTCCCCAGCATCAGAAAAAAAAATTGTGGATTGCCTATAATTTATTGCGTTATTAAAACTATTAATGTGTCTAGAAAATGGGCATAGTTGATATTCATATATAAAGTAGAAAATAGTGACATATCTCACTTCTGAACGTTCTTACCAAGTAAATATACATGAGAATTAGGGTTAAAAGGGTAGGAATTGTCACTGATTTTCTAATAAAATGATGTTTCCAATCCGCTTCATTTTTTTTTCTTCTTATCTTGGAATAACTCCTCTTTAGAAACAACATTCTGACTCAATCTCCACGGTTTCACTTACTGACAGAATCATAATTTTGAAATACTAAATTTTTTCAGTTTTTCCTTCCCCTCTCTTGCTTGGTCTTTGCCCTATTTGGGGCTACTAGAAAGGACATGGAAAAACATGTAGTATAGGCAAAGGATTTGAGAAGATGCTTCTTTTGTTTTTCTTTTAATTATTTTATTTGTTCTCTTTAGATATACATGACAATAGGATGTATTTTGACATATTATACATACATGAAGTATAACCTATTCTACTTAGGATCCCATTCTGTGGTTGTGCATGATGTGGAGTTACAATGGTTGTGTATTCACACATGAACATCGAAAGTTAGGGCTGATTCATTCTATTGTCTTTCCTATTTCCATCTCCCCTCCCTTCCCTTCATTTCCCTTTGTCTAATCCAACAAACTTCAATCTTCCCCCACCTTATTGTGTGTTAGAATTCACATATCAGAGAGAACATTCAGTCTGTGGTTTGGGGGGGATTGGCTTATTTTACTTAGCATGATTGATTCCAGTTCCATCCATTTACCAACAAATGCCATAATTTCATGGAAGATGCTTCTTGTATACAAGCAAACTATTCCCACCCTGAGAGGGTAGGTGGAGGGTTAAAAAGAAAAGTTTAAGATGGTAGGTATTGGTCAATCCCTCCAGCCTGGCAGGGTGGCGCACGCCTGTGATCCCAACAGATCGGGAAGCTGAGACAGGATGATCACAAGTTCAAAACCAGCCTCAGCAATTAAGTGAGGCTCTAAGCAATTTAGCAAGACCCTGTCTCTAAGGAAAATATTTTTTTTAAATGGCTAAGAATGTGGCTTAATGGTTAAGTGTCACTGGGTTCAATCTCCACTACCAAAAAAAAAAAATCTAGATCTATCCCTCACTATTGAGTCTCTGAGACTTCCCCAGTAGTTGGTATAATCCAAAGGCAAATAGGTCAATTTCCTGGGTAGAGTCCCAGGGAAACAATATAACAGAAGAAAGGATGTCTTATGAAAAGGAAGATAGGTCCTGTGAGGGCAAGCCTGGCACCACAGTACAGGGAAGGTCACCAGCCCTGAAGGACTATGTGAGTGGGAATAAGGCTGTCCTCACGGCAGACTACACAGGATGATAGCCAAGGGCCAGACAGAGGGACTATTCCAAAGGATGTCTGTGAATTTATGGCACCTGGAATCAGATGAGACCCTCCCAAAGCCTTGGGTCAATTAAGCTTAGACACAATCCAAAGGCTACAAAATTTTATGTGAATGGCTACGGTTAAATCTCTATCACCTACATGGATGGGCACCTCAACTGATAATTACTGCTACAGAAAAAAATATTTATGCATATCTGTTTTGGTGAACTGATGTTTGGAACTGAAAGATGTGACTACACTGTGTGTATTGGGACAGGCAGCTCTTATCACCTGAAGTTAGGAAAAGCGGAAGCAGGATGAGCAGCACCAACAGTTTCTAGGATCTCAAAAGCTATTTTAAGCCCTGATGATAGCATATTAGCAGCGCCTGATGCAGAGTCTCATGGGAAGTCACTGAGGCATTGCTGACGCCAACTCCAAAAAATGTATTTTGCCTATAATAAATGTGGTGTTGTCTTTTACATTTCCTTCTTTTCTGGGTTGTCGATGCAATTCTACTGCAGAAGATACTCTTGACAGTTCTAGCAAACCTCCATCTTCCATCACTTGTATTCTGCCCCTTGGAGGCTTCTACAAGCTTCACAATGACCTTTGGAGTCTAATCCCAGGAAACTGTCTCTGACTCTGTGAGTCTCCCAGGCAACAACATCAACAGGAAACCCAGGGCTTGAGACATTAGGACTTATACATTGCACAGAAATCCACTGGAATCACCAGGAAAGCATGTTTCTTTTAGAAAACTGATTCTCAAAATCCCCAAAGAATATAGTACACTCTAGACCTGAGGGTAATACATGATGACCATAGAAAAATTTCTTTTCTTTTTTTTTTGTTCTGTATTTTTTTATTGGTTGTTCAAAACATTACAAAACTCTTGACATATCATATTTCATACATTAGATTCAAGTGGGTTATGAACTCCCATTTTTACCCCAAATACAGATTGCAGAATCACATCAGTTACACATCCATGTTTTTACATAATGCCATATTAGTGACTGTTGTATTCTACTACCTTTCCTATCCTCTACTATCCCCCCTCCCCTCCCCTCCCATCTTCTCTCTCTACCCCATCTACTGTAATTCATTTCTCTCCTTGTTTTTTTTTCCCATTCCCCTCATAACCTCTTATATGTAATTTTGTATAACAATGAGGGTCTCCTTCCATTTCCATGCAATTTCCCTTTTCTCTACCTTTCCTTCCCACCTCATGTCTCTGTTTAATGTTAATCTTTTCCTCCTGCTCTTCCTCCCTGCTCTGTTCTTAGTTGCTCTCATTATATCAAAGAAGACATTTGGCATTTGTTTTTTTAGGGATTGGCTAGCTTCACTTAGCATAATCTGCTCTAGTGCCATCCATTTCCCTGAAAATTCCATGATTTTGTCATTTTTTAATGCTGCGTAATACTCCATTGTGTATAAATGCCACATTTTTTTTATCCATTCATCTATTGAAGGGCATCTGGGTTGGTTCCACAGTCTAGCTATTGTGAATTGTGCTGCTATGAACATCGATGTGGTACACTCTTTTACGGGTTGACCATAGAAAAATTTCTAACAAGAAATAGCATAGCAAGTACAATGAAAGATCCCAAAGACTTAATGTTTTTCTTCTCTCAAAGCCCATATTATTGGGGCAGAGGATGGGGGGCTCTACTAGGGATTGAACCCAGAGCCTTACGTAACTGAATAGAATACTTAAGGTTATAGTTGAGAAATAAGAGTTGGCATTTTCTGATTTTCTTTTTCATTTTCTTTTCTTCTTTTTTAGGGGGACAGGATTGAACCCAGAAGTGCTTTACCACTAAGCCACATCCCCAGCTCTTTTTATTTTCTGTTTTGAGATCGGGTCTTCAAGTTGGTGAGGCTGGCCTCAAACTTGATCCTCTTCAGCCTCCCAACTTTCTGGCATTACAGGCCAGTGCCATCATGCCTGGCTACAAAGTCTGTTTTCTTTACCTGATTCTCTCTCCCTAAAAAAAAAAAAAAAAAAAAAAAAAGTGTAAGTTAGGTCATGAGTTTCTCAATACTAGCTCTTCATGGAATCTGATAAATGCTTCTATAAAATATTGAGAAGGTACGTATATTTGAACTTAAATGAAACTAAATAGATCTAGAAAAAAGGTAAAGGATAAATGTGGAGTGATTGTAGAAATCCCTGGGAACACAAATTACCAACCAACTAAAGAACAAAAGAGCTCAAAGACACCTGCCCAAGACCTCTGCATTGTTTGGTGCTGTACAGACTAAACACATTTTTTCACAGAGATCTTGTGAATTCCTCCCCTCAAATTAAATTGCTCACCCCATGTTTCAAAATTGTTATGTTACTTATTAATCAGGGTTTTCCAGATCAACAGAACCATAGGATGTGTATATAGTGACTGTAAGTGACTATAAAGGCTGGCAAGACCACACTGTGCAAAGGGTGGCCAGCAGACTGGAGACCCAGGTAGGAAATGAAGTTGCCGATAGAGGCTCAAGAGTATTGGCTGGCAGAGAATCCTCCTCCCCCTCTGTCTTTTTTTCTCTTGAGGCCCACCCACATTATAGAAGATAACCTGCTTTACTCAAAGTCTACTGAATTGAATATTAATCTTATCTATAATAAAACACCTTCACAATAATATTTAAATTGGTGTTTGACCAAATATCTGGATACTATTGACTGGCTATAGCCTAGCCAAGTTGACACAAGATTAACCACCACAGTTCCTTCCTTAACTTGGTCACCTGTTCATAGGGTACCTATCGGTCAGACTGTAGGTCATATTTTCATCTCATAAAACTATTGACTTCATTGCCAGTCACAACCCAGGCTGAAGGCAAAGATACTATCCACTGTTGTCATGATAATTGAGACCAACAACACAGTCCCATCTTCAATGACCAAAAGTAACACTTCACATTTTAAGAAATCAATTTGAGCCAGGCACAGTGGATGCCTGTAACCCCAGTGGCTCAGGAGGCTGAGACAGGAGGATCATGAGTTCAAAGCCAGTCTCAGCAAAAAACAAGGCACTAAGCAACTCAGTAAGATCCTATCTCTAAATAAAATACAA